GCCTTCTCAGCCTTCCTGGTGCCGACCCTCTGATGCAGGTCCTCCTTTGGTGGTGGGCTACCTGCATGTGGGTGGACCCGCCCAGAGACCGACGGAGGAGCGGTGTCTTGTGTTTTCCGATGGTCTTAGGCGACCCCTGGGAAAGGGGTCACGACCCCCAGGTTGAGAACCGCTGCCTTAAAGGGACCGACGTTACAAAGGCCCTGACCCTGCTGAGGCTGTGGGGCCCGGAATGCTCACAGGTTGCTGGTGAAAGGTGCCCCCAGGCTGGCTGCTGGCTTCACTGTTCCTCATAAAGTTAAACATGCCTGACACCAGCAACTCTACGTCTACGCATCTACCCGAGAGAAATGAAAACATATTGTTATTAAAAGACTAATATGATAATGTTTATAGCCTTTATCATAATAGTCTCCAATGGGAAATAACCTCAAGTCCATCAACAGAATGGATTTAAAGACTGATGGCAGGTTGATACAACATACAATGTGCATCAAGGAATTATCGATAAATACAACCACACGGTGGACCCTCCGCACATCGTTCCACCACGATGAGCTGGACTCGAGAGAGCGTGCTGCGTCCTGCGTCGACACTGCGTGTCTCAGAGAGCTGCTTCGAGTGAGAAAACGTAACACTTCACTGTGTCAGTGGATTAAATGGGAAAAGAGCATGAATGAAGATAACTCTGGGGGCTGATTGGAAATGTTCTGTATCTTCACAGCGGTGTGTATTAGAGAGATGTATCCATTTATCAAAGTCCATCCACTTAAGATTTTGCTTTCAATGCATATAAATATCTCAAAAAACTATGAATGAACAAAGAAAAATGCTGAAAAATCTATATAATTCCAAATAAATCTAAAAGACTTAATCTTCACACGTCAAATCCCCAGCAGGGGGCATACAGGAGGTCGTAGTAACCTTGGAAATAAACTGTGACCTACTGCAATGGTTCCTAGAACCTCTGAACCCAGTTAATGAATGAAAAAAGGGGAAACATTTAATCCATATGACATTTGTTTTCAGGTGGCACAACTGTTTACATTAGGTAAGTTGAGTGTCCTTGCTATTAGAATAATTGCAGAAAACCCTTCCCTTAACATAAAAATATCATTCCTTCCTGGGATATGGTTGGAATTTCTAGTTCCAATATAAGCTTAAAATGGCAGGGGAAACTGGTTACACGCGATCCACAACTTCTTGGACTAAAAATATGGAAAATGTTTTTCCAGTCCAGAAGTTCATTTTTGCTCTAGGTTGATTCCCTCTCTACATTCCACCTTCCTTTGCAGAAGAAAGGCAGGTGTTTCATAAAGTTGCTCAAATGAAGGAAGAAGCTTTGTTTCCCCATCGTCGACGGGGGCTTCTTTGTCTCTGTAAGGGACGGGAACTAAATTTCCGATTCTCATAAAGACAAAGGGATCATCACTGAGGCTGGACATGGTCAGAAATTCGACAGTAATGAAGAGTGAGAATGCATGTACTTTTCATGGTCAAATGGTATTTAGACTTTACTTCTTTTTAACTTGTTTTTCTGTACAACATGACTGTATTTAATATTGATTATGGCTTTGCACCTCAACTTCATCTTCAGCCTACATCTATATTCTTTCTTCAAGCATCCTCATTTTTAGCCAAACAACCTCTTTTTATTTTGATTTTATTTTTTTGGCACTCTGCTTCATACAAAGGGTAGATGTTTTCCTTTGAAATTTCCCAAACAGTTAGAAGGCTCTGCATTCATGCCATAACCCAAAAACCTTATGCTCAAAACACCTGGAGGCTAAGCATTAATGGGAGACATTGGGTTCCATTTGGTCCTGCAGGGGAGTAAGCAAACCTACAAGGAACTCAACCCCCAGCAATAAAAAGCCATTTAAAAAACATTGGCCTTTCTGCAATGTTTGGTTTACTTCACACAAGTTTGTTTTATAAACAGAAGATAGAGACAATTTTTCTTTCTTCTGAACCAAATGAAGGGATCAGTTTACACCAGTGACGCCCTCACTCTGCACAACATTCTTCTGCGTCTTCTTGGGGAACCAACTCACGAAAGAGCAACATGGGCTTTCTAGGCAGAGATCTGACAGAACCTTGAAATTGCCATGCTGGGAAAGTCCTTTATTCTTAATAAGCTCCAGTTACCTTGACTTAATTAGAAACGGTGACCTCTAGGACTAAGGACTATTTTATATTTCACACGCACACGCACACACACACACACACACACAGATCTGATGTGAGGCACAGTGTTTGGCACAGACCACGCACTAAATATCTGGTTCCTGAACCAAACGACACTTTGTCCGCCGACGTCTTTCCCTCAGCAGTGAAGCTGCCATGTCACTGGGCCCTGGGGACTGACAGAGGCACCGAACGGAACAGCACAGAAGGACCATCTCCTGCATTACAATTCTAACCCATCAGTTGGAACACATACCAAATGCTATTCCTGGTTATTTAGTTACAAAGGAAATACAGATATCAAGTGTTATCACTGCATATTATTTTAATAGTCACGATGAAAAGCAATAATTATCCATCACTTTGTATCACTCCAAGAACAATACTTTTCAAAAAATATGCCCATATCAAAAACAACTACCTTGAACAGAACATCAAGATATAGGCACATAAAATGCTTTTTAAAAAAATTACATACTTTTTCAAAGGCTTCTTTAAGAAAATAGGTAAATTAGGGAATCAACAAATAAAACAGTTGTTTTATTTCACATCAACAAATGAACTAAATATTGTTAAATGGAGAAAAGAATCTCTTAGGATAATGCAACTATAGGATGAGGTTTTGCTTGTCACTCATTGTCCAGAAACCTAAGTAAAATTTGGGAGCATATATTTAAAATAATGATGTATTTCATTCAGCCTTTGAATGGAAGAAAAAAGAAATGCCAACTATTCATCTTATTGCATTTTCACATACCAGACTCTCCCGGAATGTGATCATGCAAGTATGCATGTTGAGACACTACTTGCCACTTTAGAAATATAAGCATGTTTATAGGTTTCATTATTCCCATCATTATGTGTTCAAAACCTGATTATAATGAAGAGTATGTCACCAAAACAACAATTTACTTGTTAAATTGAATCAATAAATGTGTTTTAATTAAATATACTACAGAAAATAGTCTGATTTCTTAAAATGTACATGTTACTCATGATGGTTTTTGGGCATTTAAATTTTTAAACCTCGAAAATCTAGTCCAGCTCTGGCTGGTTTTGCTCAGTGGTTAGAGCATCGGCTGGCGGACAGGAGAGTCCTGGGTTCAGTTCCCGCTAAGGGCACGTACCTCAGCTGCAGTTTGTCCCAAGCCCCAGTTGGGGTTGTGTGGGTGGCAGCCACTTGATATGTCTCTCTCACATCAATGTTTCTCTCTTTCTCCTCCTCCCTCTCTCCCTCCCACTCTATCTGAAGAAAAAATAAAAAATAAAAAAAATCTAGTCCAATGAATAAAGTGCACCATAAATATAAAAATAATTCCACCCATGAGTAAATGGATTTTTGTTACCTATTTTTATATTAATTCTACACGAGAGTACCTACTATATAGTTGATATAAAATCATTTAAAATATTTTCTAAGGCATCAATTTCATTTAGTTCTGTAAAATTTTAATGATGCTCTGAAAATTCTAAACACTCTTGTATGAAAATATAAATTAACATGCAGCGTGGCTAATTTTTTAGTAATTTATTTGGACAGAAAGACTTCAGTGCATATGTGGGGTTGACTTAAATACTAACAATCTACTTTTGAACTCTATTGTCAATGTTTACTTGTAATCAAATACGACTAATTTAGCCAGTCGGCAGTATCTCCAGGAATGGAAAATTATCATAACCAATATATCTTGATTGCAACAGCCTGTACCTTCATTGTCTGTCCAGACTGTTTTCACATCAGGTTTATAATGAAAAGCCCAGTCACAGACAGGCGTTAGCAAACACACTGGGGCTCCTGTTCTCCGGAGCAAATCAAATTTTCAATAACTCATAAGGCAATTTGAGGGCTTCCATTGTATAACCCTTCAACAAACAAATTCTAGATCTGTTGTTGTTTTTTTTTTTCCTCATTAGCAGTCCAATCAGTGTAGGACTTAATGCACACAACCCATAAAATACCTTCAAAGCAAATAGAGGCGTATGTTTGAAGTCCTTGGTTCATGAAGAAAATCACTGGGAAATGTTTAAGCAAGAATTAAGGTCAAATATTTATACTTGGCACAGAGGTGGGTCTCCAGCAGAGACAACCCCTTGCACACAGTGAGCCCCACTCTCCCGTGAACCCCGTTCATCTGCGCCTTTCTGTTGCGCGTGAGATCGTCTACTACTTGGTTCACGAAACACGGGCTGATGGTTCGCGTTCACGCATCTCTCCTTGAAAACAAAATGTAATCACGACGCTCAGGCACTGGAGTGGATGGAAGCAAACCTGAGTGGGGCTGAAGAGGCCGAAGGCACAGCAATGGGCTTGCTCAGGGTCGGGTGCAGGGATGAACCCGCCAGGGTCAGAGGTGAAGAGCAGGGGTGAGCCGCCCGGGTCAGAGGTGAAGGACCTCCAGGGTGCCCCTGTGCGCGGACGCTGCCTGGGCCCTGACCGAGGACGGGGACTGTGGGGCCCTAACACTGCGTCCCCTCCCCGCTCCTGGCCCGGAGCCCCTCAGTCCCGACCCCCGACCCCGGCACATCTGGACTCCCGCCGGCTCTGAGCCCGCGATCACTCCGCGGCCACAGACGGGAGACGGAGGACACACGACTCCGCGCCCCGACTGCTGTTCGCGGGCACACGGGCGCGCTCACCGTCCCTGCGGAGCCCGGGACAAGTGCCCCCATCGGTACAGCCTGGGCACAGCCCACAGCGCGGCGGACCCGTCTGTCCCGGACCGAGTCGGGTCGGCTCCTCGCGGTGGCCGCCTGGACTGAGGGTGGCAGCATCTCTGCCAGCCCCCCGAGGCCACAGCGCTGCACAGACCCACCTGCACCGGAGCTTCGTGTCTCATTGTTCTCGGGCGGTCCTGGCTCTCGGGGACGACAGCGCTGGCCCGGGCACGCGCTCCCGGCTCCCCGCTCTGCACCCGCGGGCTCCCCGACCCGCCCGATATCAGCACCGGCGCTGTCCCCTCGTGGGGGCGCATGCGCGGTCCGGCCCCCGCGCGCTCTTCTGGGAGTTGTAGTCTGGACCCCCGGCGCGTTCCGCGAGTGCGCGAACCACGAACTACAACTCCCGGCGACGCCGCAGACAGACCGCCGCCCCTCTGGCCACGCGCGGGCCGCGGCGCCTCTCTCTGCTGGGACCGCTCTCAGCCTCGCGCCCGACCCTCCGAGGTGCAGGCGAACGCGGCGACCCGGCTCAGCCTCGCTGCAGGTTTCTGGTTCCCACCTGTCGCCTCCCGAAGCTGCGCCGGGATTTCCCGGTTAGGAAACGCGCTGTCCGGTGCTAACGACCGATGCCAACGACACCTGCGCGCCGTCCCGACTCCACCCCCGACACCTGCCTTGGGGAACCCGGAAAGTTTGTCCCGCAGGCAGGGCCGGTGTCTGTGCCACCTCGAACTCGGGGAGGAAGCGGCGGGCCCCACACTCAGGAGCGAAGTGGGTGCCCGCACTGGCGTTAAGGCGCACACACGGACACACACAGACTCAGCGTTCCCGGGCTCCCCCAGTGACACGCACGCACGCGCACGCACATGCTCCGACACACCCTCCCACACCCACACGCGGACACGGGCGTGCGCGCGTCCACACTCACGCGCCCTCACACGCGTACACGAACGCGCGCGCGCTCACACGGACACACACGTCCATGAGGCGAGCTGTCCTGCAGACCGCACAGGGACCCCTTCGCTCACCTTTCCGTACAGATCCATGGCCGGGCGAGGTTCCTGTCCTCAGCAACGCTCCTTCTGGCGGAGGTGCGGGTCTTCGCAGGAGGCGCAGATAAACGCGCCGCACAATGGAGAGGGTGGGGTGGGGTGGCGGAGGGAAAGAGGGACGTGGCGCACAGCTGATCCGGACAGAAGGCTTGTTCCCTAGGGAGGAGCTTGCAGACCCGGCGGCGGCGCGGAGAAAGGGCTCCCAGGACCAGCGCCTGGGGCGCAACCGCGTGGGGCGGCCCCTCCCACCCCGGCCCGGTCCGCGTCCCCGGGCGCAGCCGCCGCCGGCCAGAGCCCTGCGTGCTCTGGGTTGTCACCCAAAGCCGGCCCTGCAAGCAAGACACCCGCCCCGGAGCCAGAGCCCGGCACAGGATGGCACCCTGGACCGTATCGAGTCGCCCTGTCCTTCCTCACGTAGGAGCTCCTTGTCTCACACTAGTTCAAAGGATTCTCAAATCTCTGAACTGCACTTTTATTCTACTTTCCGTCCCTCAGTTGACTCGGGTGTGACTGGCGGGGCTCCCTGCACCGTCTGCAGTTCTCTCCCCTTAAGCGTAGAAGGTGATCAGGCCAGTAAGGACGCTGCTTTGGGCAAGTGTCCAAAGGACTGTGACTGGAGGCAGAGCGGGGGACAAGTGCACTTGACTTTGGCACAGAGACATGGAAGTAATACCTGAATCAGCTCGAAACTTCATTGCCCCCGACAAAGCAGTAGAACGGAGGTTCTGAATCTAAATGTGCTTGAGAATCGGGGGGCGGGGGGCAGATTCACATACTCAAGGCATGAGCAGAGATCTGATTCACTAGCATTTTAAAGAAACACTCCCGCAGTTCTGATGCAAGTGGTCCTTTGCGTAATTCGAGAAACATCGACCTAGAAGAATGTATATGTAAGAGATTTTTAAAAATACAAACTTTAACAAATTCACAGATTGACTCAATAATGCAAACACAATGGATTGGGAACCCACTGTGTGCCATTAATTTTAGGGTATTGTTTTAAGAATTCTGAGATGTGTCTTCTAATCTTGCAAAAACTGAGAATGTAATGTGATATCACCTAGGTAAACAGGGTGCATAACTACTCATAAAATACATTTTTAAATGCTCCCCTCATAGTTGAGGTGGCGTTACGGTTACAGCAACTGCATTGAAAGTAGCTAATAAAAAATAAAATTAAAGATCAAAGGGACTTCAGTGTAGAGTTTCATGGTAGCAGCTTATTAGAAAATAAAACCTCAGTCATTTTTAAAATATGCATGTAAAGGTTCACCTCTTTATAAATGTTTTTCCAGGAGAAGTACCAAAAAATAATACTGACAGTTAAATGTATGGACTTATTTGGCATTTAGTAATAAAAAAAAAAAAAAAAAGTCACACCGGTGCTTATGCGTGGTCTTTCCTCAGAGTTTCCTGTGATTCTGGTGCTATCATCACCTGAGCTTCCAGAACTCCAACAGCCTTCTACCACATGACATATTTAAATATTACAAATGCCAAACTGCTACACATCTCTGAGCAAAGTCCATCTCTCTTCGACATTTTACTAAAATAATATGTATCCTCAGTTTTCTAGTATCCCATGTGCGGAAGAATCCACAAAAATTGAGTTGTGAAAATACTATCAGAGTTGCAAGAGGTTTGGGGTAACTTAGCTCTGTCCTGTTTCTTGTGCCTTTTGGGGTATTTAAGTTGGTGGAGAGAGAAATAAGAAAGGTAGCCAGGGATCAACTAAACCAACAAAGATGGACTGGCGCTGATTCTCTCCCTAAAGTACCCTTTAGTTTTGCAAGAAATCAGGCCACCATCTATGAGTTTTGTTCCCAAGGTCACCATGGGGCTGCTGGAGCTCCAGCTCTTACATCTACCTTCTGGGAGGCAAGAAGAGGTGATGGAGGGCATCCCCACATAGGTGCTCGTACATTGCAGTGCCTAGAAATTACCCTTATGACCACACCCAGGTACAAGGCAGGCTGGGAAATGCAGTCCTGATTTTGGGTGCACAGGTGCCCAGCTGAACATCCTGAACGGTATTGAACCTGAGAGGTATTGAAAGGCACCTGGTGGTCTCCACCACAGGCATCAGGGGGACTCTACCATAAAAGTCATTGCATACCACCTTTGCAATTTTATTGGAATGTAAATGCCTATTTAAAAATGTACCCATTCCCAAGGGTCTCTGTAGTTTAACAGCAATCAAAGCCTTAAAATTAAGGAATGACCTGGAAGTTAGACTCCAGCTCTTGTTGAGGAGACAGGGGAAGAGGGAAGCCTTCTCCCCTTACAGATGCATCTGCCGCCATCTGTTAGGACTGACACTGGGAAATACAGCTGGGACTGAACGTGAGATGAGGAAGCCCTGGAAATTCTCGGGCTCCCTCACGCAAACCTTGCCCGCACCCACACACACAGCGAGGCCAGAAACCTCCAGCACCTTCCCCGCCCAGCGCAGCTGTTTCTGACCTGAGCCCGCCTGTGGGACTCAGAGTCGGCTGGGCTGCGACTTCACGCCCTGCAGCACTGGCGTCCGGACATGCTACCGACTGTCCCACGTTCCCTTCGGAAGAAATTAAACATCTCCGTGACGTCACTGATTTCTTTTTCATTAAAAGGAAAAACCATTTTAACGCATTCCTGCTTGTGAGGAGTGAGTTAACCCACACGCATCGTCAATATAAGTAAGGTGTTTTTAAATAATAAATAAATGAACTCCAGTTGAATGAAAAGAAAATGTTTTCTTTCTATAACATAAATACGATCCTATTAGTGATAGCTACCCTTTCCTCCATATCTATCTTGTGGGAGGCATTCTGTATATATCATTCCATCTAGTCCTCAATGACATCACAAGGTAGTGTTATCAACCTTATTTTACAAAGAAGAAAATGAATAGAGAGGGTAAACATTTTGCTTACGGGCACCTCGCTAGTGAAGTGTTGGGCCTGGATTTGAAGCTCAGGGTTATGTGGTCCCAAAGCCCAGCCCATGGTTTGCTCATAAAAGGTTATATGTTTCATAATCGCTTGCAAAGAAGTTCTAGCAGACTGTGTTGTTGTTGGCCGTGCTTGGGAACAAGGACATTACATACAGAGTCCTTTCGTGGGATTGCTGGTTATTAGATATCTTTTCACATACTTTTTAATTTGAAAACTGTCAACATTTTCAGATAAACACCAAATCATTTGATGCACTAGAAATATCATTAAGGAGCTTGTATCAAATTCAGATCTTTTGGGAAGACAGTTTTATAATAAACAGATTAGAATTACACAAATTATGAGAAAAACAGAGGACTGCTAAACAATAATTTCCACATTCATACAAAGTACTGTTGAGCTACTGGTTTTAGACTGGTATGTTTGGGTGAAGTCTAGGTGACCTACATCTTTATGAAGCTGTGGTGTACTTCCAAAGAAATAGATATCATTATCTTTTTTGGAAAACCATTACTCTTATAAAACCGCTGTATATTTTGAAAACAATGTTATAATCAAGGCCCGACTTAACTATATGCATTGCAGATAAGCTTTCTACCTCTGAGCTTCGGACCAGAACAGAGCACAGGGTGCCCTGCACGGAGGACCTTGTGAGCCTGCAGCAGTGTGGAGGGTATGTGATTTGGGGGTTGGGGCTGGAGGCGGGGAGACACCCCGCACAAGGCCAGCCACAAGCAAGGACACGGCAAACAGCCCCCCTGCACTTCCACAGGAAACACGGCAGATCCGCGCAGAGACAGATCTCACAGACACCTTAGCTCAATCCCCACTTTGTGGGTAAAGAGTTAAGTCCCAGGAAAGTGAACACTTGCCGGAAGCCTGTAGTTCACCTGGTGCTGTTGGGCTCGGACACATACTGGATAAAAAACTGTTCTGACAGAATAATTTGTTAATATAATCAATTATTAGGTGTACCAATAATTTTCATTGAGTTGTTTTTAGGTTTCCGTATTGTAGTTTACAATGGAGAGTCAAAAAGGCCTTCTATCTTCATCCTCAGTAGGGCCCCAAACTAGTTCAGGGGCCAGACACAGAAACAGGTAACGCAGGCAGACGGCAGCAGCAGAGATAGCAGGGCAGAGCCCGACAGCGGCCCGCCCACTCTCATCACATAACTGCTCTCAAGAGTCACTGAGAGAGCGGCCAGTTCAAGGGAATTC